GAGGGACTTGGTAAAAATTCATATGATCTTTGATTCACAATCATCCTCCTGCGCCTCTTCGTCATCTTTCCCTTCGTCATTATCATCAACAACACGATCTGTATGCTCAATTTGACACTTCATGCATGGTGTTTGGTCTTTGTGTGGTGCAAGATTTTCCTCCACAAAATTAATTTTATCCCTCGGTGAACAGGAAGAATGTAGTATGGCACATTGTGAGTGATAGTGATTACTGTGCTGATTATGATTATGATTATGATTATGATGATGATGATGATGGTGAGGTGGATGCTGGTGATGAGTGATTAATTGTGGAAATCGATCGTCTGTATCTTCCTGATCCCCATGTCTGCCTTTCCCGGGAGATTCCATCCGAATGATCATGGAAGACTGTCTCGATTGTGTTGGAAAGCATGTGAACACGGCAACCGGATATTCTGTACACGTGGGGTCCGAATCCGCTTTTAGTAAGCTTACACCACCCTCTGTTTGTAGCAATTCCGGAAAGTATGTGGCTGATGGCTGATTGGATGCTGATACCTGACTCCCGGTTGCGATGTGATTGTGCACTGAAAAACAACAAAACCGCAATAACCGATTACAGTTGTTTTTCTACCGATTGAGCAACAGGGCTTTATCAAATGTGTGTGGAAAAAGGGTAAAATTGTGAAAGTTGACAACGTCGCAAAACATATTTTCAGACTGAAAATCGTATCCGCCTCTGTTGTGCTCAGGTATACTGTACTAAGCTCTGGTCACGCAACGTCAGACCTAACGTCGCCGCCAGAACTTGACGAGTGAATGCAATGGTCTATGCAAACCACACTTCTTTAGATCAATAGAATGCAATTTGCAATAAATAAACTGAAAATAGTTTGTATATACTTACAAGCCGAATTACAAATAGGTTAAGTTAATCACAAACAAAACCGTTGCACTGCTGATGAGAAGTTGCCGAAGTTCAGTTTGCGAAACAATAAACTACCAAATATTCTGAGCGGCAGCTACCCTAAAACGTGGAAGTTAACAATATCCATCGGGAAATAGTCATGACAACTAGGATAACTGAAAACTAAATCCTAAAAACCCCATGACCTATTTTCCAAATTGTACCTATCTCAGGTCACGTGAATCCGGTATATGTCTCTATCACATCATTCCAATCACTGAAACTCTTTTTCTTAGCTTTTGGAATGATGTCGCGATAAACCAGTGTCGAGGTTCGACAGCTACACTGATTCAATGTTAGCCTCGGTCGATTTGAGTTGATTCAATTTCATTCCAAAACACAAACCTAAATCATCCAAAGAGATTGAATTGTAAACCGAAGCCTTAGTATTAAATTGATCATGGTAATCAATATGTGTGGAGCTTTCTCCAAGAGAAATTTAAAACCCACATCTCAAAACTGCGGAGCTAGAACAAGCACTTTCGAGGTTCACCGTGGTTCAATGAAAATTCAGTTGGTCATCTTGCAAGGCAGGATCGCTTCAAAAGCGGCGTGTATTTTTCCCGGACAAGTTGATCTGGTGGTTAGTTTAAAACATTCGATCTGTAAGGTTCTTGTACCAAAGTGTTAGTTTATCTTATAAGTACCTTTTTCTGCAAAGACCAGTTGCAAGAACCGAAATTGTTTTTAACCTGTGAAAATTGGCTAGCTTGCAATAACGGATACCGATGGTATCTCCAAGCGGCACAACAACTGTCTACTTGGAGGCCACTAAAACGGATCGGGGAGTGAGAGATATGACGTAATGTGAAGTCAAGTCAAGTCAAGTCAAGTATTTGCTTTATGCACCCCGAAAGGTGGATATTCAGCAGTCATATAGTCGTCTAACAGTTATCGAACAAAATCATTACATAATTATCGTGAGCAGTGAAAATGAATACAATTTACGAGATAACTGAGTAAAGGTCCGAAGCAATGCTTTCTGCGCTGACAAGAAATCGGGCAAGATAGGGCACCAGAGAAGACCTATAAGCGGTCGTACGAGCAAATATACGCCTATAACGGGACCGGGTGAAAGAGGAGAAAACACACTTGATAAGATCTTGATGTAATGGATGTGAAGGGTTATCCATGACTTTTGTTGATAAAGAAAAACGACTTCGTATGTTGGGAAATGATGAAGTGACAGATAGTTTCACGGGAAATCCCACCACTTCTTGATAGATGTGTTAATGATCTGGAAAGCAGTTTAAAATCTTTTTTGAGCATCCCTGGAAAGATTACTGGGGACCCATACAACCATTGGGATAAAATACAGGCAAAAAGAAAACGTTTAATCAAGAAGCGAGGGACGGATAATGTTTTCAATCGTAAGACAAAATGATAGTTTTCTGACCTTTACAAATACAGAGATAACTTGGTCAGACCAACATACGTTTCGGTTTATTAACACCAAGATACTTGACGTTTGGAGGTTGAACAATAGTGTCATTACCTATGTTCAAAGAGAGACAAGATTCCAAGAGATTAGCATAACGGTTCCCTCTGTGAAGTGAGAACAACATGTCTACACATTTAGAGGGATTGAGAGTTAAGTTATGCTCAGTAGACCACTGAGCAAGGTTAATAAGGCCAAGCTGGAGGGTGGGGTGACAGATGCATCAGGGCGGGTAATTCCGACCACAACATCGTCCGCATATTTAATAAGCAGGGAGTTTTGGAAAGTAGGCATGGATGAAATATAAGTGGAAAAGAAGGATGGGGATAGAATAGCACCCTGTAATACGCCCTGTGTAGAAAGTAAGGAGGAGGAGGATCGACCAAGGTAACTTGTGAACTGTGATAAATTTATGAAATAGTTGGTGAGTACTACAGTAATAGTTTGCGATATTCCTTGGGAAGACAAAATATTTAACAGCAAAGACCTATTAAAACAATTGAGGGTGTCACTGAAATCCAAGAAACAAATTCTGACCGCCTTCTTGTTTCCATCAAGTGCTGACAGAATGTAGTGAACCAGAGAAGCTAGGGCATCTAGGGTAGAGCGAGAGCGACAGTACGCAAATTGGTTTTGGTTCTGCACATTCAGCTGAGATGACATTTCTTGGAGGAGTAACTTCTCGAAAAGCTTCAACACAACAGACGTACATGCAATGGGACGGAATTTTGAGGTGCCTCTTTTAGGCACTGCAGTGATGGAGGCAGCTTTCCAACAATCCGGTATAATTCCGTTTTCCAAGCACTGGTTGAACAGAGCTGTGAGCACCGGCGAAAGTGTATGTGTGCACTCCTTAAGGATTGCAGCCTCCAATCTNCAGGACCAGGTGATTTATTGGGTTTGAGTGTCAGCAACTGTTTCAGAACATCATGATGTCAAATAGTGAAGGGTTCTTGATTGCTGGGGTCAATGTTTGTGCTGGTGATGATTGGCCCCGGCCCCGTATTGTAGGTACATTTGGAGAATGTTCTGTTTAGTTCCTCAAAGTCTATTGCTGTTGGAGACACAACTGAGGCTTGACCACTCAATTGTTTGATGGTGTCCCATGTTTCCCGGTAGGTTTTGTTGTGCAGGAGAGTACGGGTGTAGATGCCGTT